GTCAAAGCGGTGTGCCTTCTTTAAATTTGTATTGGCGGATCGCAACCGAGAAGTGCCTACACCGCCACCTACTGTACTGGAGTGTAATACCGGTCACGACCTCCCTATTCATCAATGTCTTTTATCTAGCCCTGTGTTTCCGCCTACTGTTCGGGAGCGTGAATTCGTTACACTTAGTGATACAAAAAGGGAAGGGGAAAAGTAAAAGTCACCCAGTAAAATACTACTTGAGTAAAAGTCAAAGTTTTTGCTTTTAAATCTACTTAAATCTACTTAAGTATCAAAAGTAAAAATCATTTAAAATTCCTTATATTAAGCAAACCAGATGGCACAATTTTCATGTTTAAATTTATTTTTTTACAGATTAACTCCAACCCTCAGACATAATTTACAAATGAAGCATTTGTGTTTAGTGAGTCCGCCAGATCAGAGGCAGTAGATGACCAGGGATGTTCTCTTGATAAGTGTGTGAATTGGACCATTTTCATGTCAATTCAAAATGTAACAAGTACTTTTGCGTGACAGGGAAAATGTATGGAGTAAAAAGTACATTATTTTCTTTAGGAATGTAGTGAAGTAAAAGTAAAAGTTGTCAAAAATATCAATAGTAAAGTACAGATACCCAAAAAGACTACTTAAGTAGTACTTTAAAGTATTTTTACTTAAGTACTTTACACCACTGTAACCCAGTTTATTTTTGGAACGAAAATTTGTATTAACCGGTTCTCAAGATTTTAAAATAACGGTTCTGTTCCCGAACACTAGAGATGACTTTCGTTCCGGGTTCTGCTTCCGTTCCTCCAAAAATTCGGTTTTCTGTTCTGTACCCTGACCTGGTCATGATGTAGCTAATGTTTTGGCTGTATCAGAAAGGGTTTAACACTGTAGAGAATTTACCAAAGCTAAATGTGTTGCATCATAAATGAGAAGTCTACAGTGAATTCATAGCAGTGTATATAGTTCCTAAATCGAGTGTCCTGTTTCATTGGCATTGATTGTTGTTAATAACATGTTTGTATTGAATGCACACCTATTGGACCCACTTCCCAGGCTGCCCACCTGTCATATCATTATCCATGCATTTCAGATTTCTGTTTAGATTAGGAAAAGTCTGAATATGTTCATTTTTGGACCATATCTTCCCAGAGACATACACACATGGGGAGAATCTTAATTACATACGCTGTGCTTCCCTGTCTCCTCATTCTCAAAACCCATTGGATGAGAAAGCCAGAGGTCCCGCCCCTCTGACCTCCTCCAATGGGTTTTGAGAAGGAATGGATGTGCCCCCGCACATTGACTCTGCACCGGTACCCCCCTGTATATATAGCCTCCCTACTGTTATTTTATTTTACTTCTGCTCTTTTTTTCTCAACACTTTTTTGTTGTTTTATTCTACTTTTTAATTAAAAATAAATGCACTGTTGGTTAAGGGCTGTAAGTAAGCATTTCACTGTAATGTCTGCACCTGTTGTATTCGGCGCATGTGGCCAATAAAATTTGATTTGATTTGATAGGGTGCAATTGAGATTCTCAAATGTTACAGGTCCCGTGCAGCTCAGTTGGTAGAGCATGGCGCTTGCAACGCCAGGGTTGTGGGTTCGATTCCCACGGGGGCCAGTGTGAAAATGTATGCACTCACTAACTGTAAGTCACTCTGGATAAGAGCGTCTGCTAAATGACTAAAATGTTGTCCAAGGAACATCATACAGTAATTCTACTTTCAAGGCAATGTCAGTAAATTAACACTAGATGGCGGTCTTGTTTCAATTTACCCTGCAGAGCCTGATTTCACCATCAAGGCTGGCTCCTGTATTGTAATTTGGATTCATTAGAACAACCTTCCTCTAACTCCAATGTTCATTATAACATTTAACATAATCAAGATGTGACAATGTATGCATCTTCACAGCAAAATATATTAACAATGAGACAGTAGGTAAGCGTGGTTGTTTCTAATGGTACCCTATTTCCAACATAGTGCACTACTTTTGACCAGAGCCATATGGGCCCTGGTCAAAATTAGTGCTCTATAAAGGGAATAGGACTGTGAGGCCTAGGCCGTAGAGGGAGATCAACTCTATTGAAAGTTCATTCCAAGCTCAGATGCCATTAGTAACCTCACATTTTGGAATATAACCTTCCTAAATATTATGAATTAAGTTGAAATGGCCAACTGTATCAGCACTCCTCCCGAACAACCTACATTACATTTAGAGATCAAGCTTTGTGATTTGGTGTGATGCAACTCAAGAGACAACATAAATACAAAAAAAACACTTTAAAATAGTTTTATAATTCCACCAACCACCTCTACAATCTTAAAAGCTAAAAGACCAACAACATTAACATTGAATCAAACAATGTATGAAATGGAGTACTACAAATGTCTGTATTTTAAAGCAGCCCAAACAGCTGAATTATGCCAGTTATAGACAAACAGCTAGCTACAGCAGAAAAACTCTGAAATGAATAAAATAAAAACTAAAACATGCACACAAACAATGATTAATAATTTAAATTAGAAATGCAGGTTCATCAAAACAATTGGTATACATCAGATTTCTTGCATTTGAAAAAGAAAGATGCATGACTTTATCTTCAACATAACTTACAAGCAAACTGTTATTGCTCCGATTGTGGCCCATGTATCAAAAATATGCATTTCTGTTTGATATAAAAACTCTAGGAGTCCTATTGTGTTGGCGAAACATAGATATGCATAATAACAGAAATGGTGGTCACCCACCTCAGGGCAGGCAAACCACTGTTTCTATTGATAGTATAAAGAAGCGGTAAGAGTACCACACAAACATTAGGCACAGACCCTGAAGACATACCTCTCAAGCACAAGTTCAGAAGCAAACTGCAGTGGCGGCACCAGCCCCATAGCACCAGTTAGGAGAGTTGAATCCTGACAGGCAGACAGACAGACTCAAGCCTCTCCTGCCCCCAGGCATGCATAACCATCACATTAGTTGGAGAACCGAACTGGGGAACCGAACTGGGGCACAGCCAAGGGGAAGTAAACATTGATGGGGGGGTTAGCAAGGGGCTAGCAACATACTATACATGTATGTTCCTAGGCTAGGGTGATCCAGACCAGCAGATAAGTTAAGCATGGTCAGTGTTCACAGATCGAGCATAGAGCAGTCAGCAGTATGATTCTCCATAATCAGTCCAGTTCAGTGTAGGCACTCATTGGCTCTTTAACAGTGCACAACTGCAGCATTTAGGACAAGGTAACCAACCACTGTTTTAGGATATGTGACTCCTTCAGGATAAGTACTTGTAATAAAAATGGTGCAGAGACATTTTAGTTTCATGTTTGATCCAGACTCCATTTCCTGAATATGGAGTCTGGTGTGAAGAAACAATAGGCTACAAAACGATAAAATGTGCACACCTCAAACTAGTACCATATGGGTATAAACCTAACAAATGGATATGCAGGAAGGTATGAAAATAGTACTTTTACACAATGGTTTATCTATAAACAACTTCAGAGACATTAAGACAACATGGAATCTTTGGTGTTCAGTCAATGTGATAATGATCCGAATCAAATATTTAGAGCCCAACACAAACATTGTCTACATACATTAATTACAACAGAGAGTGCTACTGTTCACACAACTGTGAATGACTGGCTCAGTTATATACTTAATTTGATATGGACTGTATATGGTTATATCACAGATTAAGATTATATATATATATGACTAAATCTTGTTTCAACATCCAGGATGATAAGCTTTAGAACATGTACCCAAGTAAAATCAAGAGAAAAGGTCATTCAATTATGAAAGGAGTGCTGAAGGGCAAGACAAAAAGGTGAAAGGCAAACAAATGTCTCAACTGTTGAGCATAAAGTATGCTTATTAGATAACTGACTAAAACATAGTTAAGAAAAATGTATTATATGGCCATGGCCAGATCCTTCATAGGCCAGACCAAAAGGCCCAGGGTTCAGAGTGTTTGTGACAAGAGCCCCACCCACCCCTATCAGCACATATCTGCCCTGAGCGACAGAGACCAACTGTCCTCCGTACTGGATTGAGCATGAGATCCATACACTCCTTTGACAAATCTCTGTTCTGGAGAAGAGATGCACCCACCTCACAAAAACATTTTATTTCTGTAAAAATGTCTGTCCACTCTTTCCTGGCAAAAATAAGTAAGCATCCAGCATCCTGTAAGACATTCGTACTCTAAATATATATTAATTAATTTAAGAAGAAGTCTCAACATTTCTACGTACCCTATGGAATTAAGTCAGTAAATGTCCGAATATAATGGATACAGGTTTGTGCAGATATACCTGGGAAATTGGTTCTAAAAACAGCACAGTAAGGTCTCTGTTCGTTTTGCATATGCTTTGCCATTATCTTCCGTGAAGAGTCTCTGGTAACGCAACATAAAAACAACCAATCCAAATGACACAGTAGATGAGATGAGAAACAGCGATGAACGGCTGTAGTCCCCCTTCCCTTTAGACACCACAGACGACAGATGAGGCACCGTCACTGTGACAGGGGCAGGAGGAAAGGGAGGACTGAGGACAACTGAGGGGCATGGACTGTCTGACTGGGACAAAGTGGTGATAACCTAGGGCTCATTTAACTGGGGTGATGGCCAGTCCATGCTACTGAGGCCAGTGAACCATTCACTTTAGACTACATCTAAAGCCCTGTCGCTGAGGGATTTAGCTTTGCAAACGTAGGCAGACTGGTAGGTCAAGTCCTTTCTGGGGTGTTGTAGCAATGGAGTATTGATTCTGGTGAAAAGAGTGCAAATTCAATCTCGATGCTGTATAGATTCAGTTTTTTCAGTTGGACATGCCCAGACCAGCCGTAGCAAGTCAATCAACCCCCTTTGCGTTACGTTGCAGCATATTCATGGAGCCTCACAGCCTGACACGACACAGAAGATAGTTCCAGCGAGGCTGCAGTACAAGTCCACTGCACGTACTGTAATGCACCTTTACTGTGGCCCATTCACTACTGAATCATGAAGCCAGACTGCGGAGCCATGCGAGGGGGAGGCCTCTGAGGCAGGGCAGGGGGGTACTGAGACACGAAAGGCTGCAGATACCCAGGGTTGACACTGAGCAAAGAGTGGCCCACCCTGGGGGGGATAGGGGGGTATGGGGTGGCAGGGTAGGAGAAGACAGCAGGCTGGGGCTGTGGGGCTACAGCTGAGGGTTGTTGGGCTGGAGGGGGAGGGGGGGCTCTCCTTGGCTGGGGCACTGGAAAGGGGTTGTGGTTGTTGGCATCTGTGTAGAGGGGGGCTGGCCTGGCTGAGACCTCCTGAGGGTGGGAGCAGGGGACTGGGACCCGAGGCAGCCGCCCACCCTTCAGCACCATCTCCTGCAGCTTGTCAATCTTCACCCTCCTCAGGTGGGCTAGCTTCCTGTTGCTCTGGTACGAGTCCATGAAGGCATCCAGGGTGACGTCGCCGTCCAAGAAGGAGTCAGCCATGTTCTTTTTAGAAAAGAGGGATGGTTTTAAAACATTCCAATGAAGCAGTCTGGAGATTCCATGCAAACGCAAATCTTTTTTTATGCTAAATAAAATAAAGTATAAACAATGTGATGAATAGATGTGAGGATTGGACAGTAACAAAACTGTGAGGTGTTCTCCCAACTTGTAACAAACGGGACCATAAAGTCAGATTAATAAACCATAAATGATAGGCCCTGTGGGCCACAGCGGAAATAAAAACAGGAAAGGCAGGACACAGTGTTTAAACTGATGGCACAAGAGACATTAGGCCATCCTTTGACAGAGAGAGAGGTGTTGTAATGCTGCTTACCTCGGTCTCCTCTTCAATCTTGGCTCCCTCTGCCTGCAATAGAGCAAGCAATGTGTCCAATGAACTGTTCCCAGAGCTGTGGTCTGTGAGCAGATGAGAAAAAATAAAATAAAAAGTTGACATTTTGTTTACTACTGCAACTAGAATTCATAATCTCACAGTGACAACACTTGAAAATGTGTGGTCTGAACAGAAGAGAGAACAGAAAGGACAAGACAAATGTTTACATTTTGTTTTACAACCGCAACTAGAAATAATCAAAAAAAAAATTGCCTCTCATAGTCACCCGAATAAAATGTACTGCTGAAAAGAATGAGTAGGCCTCAATAACATGAGACACTGACTAACATGATGACTACTACATAAGTATGAGGGAGTATTCAACCAGTGAGGGGGGAAACGCACAGCTCCATATCCAGCCGTCACTCATTCTCTACAACAACATCCTCTGACTGACACCCGAACCAAGGCCTCATTACGAGTTGCCAGGATAGATCCACTCTGAGCAAAGAGACTGACGGTCTTTCATAATGAGTGGTGAACTGAAATAGATTGGGGCCTGCGTCTGTAAATGCACCCTACTCCATAAATAGTACACTACTTTTGACCAGAGCCCTATGTGAGTATGGGGTGCTATTTGGCACAGTCAGGGAGTCTCCAAGGAATCTGAACAAGAGGCCAGCCTTGTTCCTGTTCCTGTGTTGAGTCAGTCTGCTGACTGAAAGTCAATACCAGCTGGAGCTGCTGGAATTACATGCAGGACCTGACACCAAAGCAACCAGGTCACACAGCAAACCTCTAGGTTTCTGATCCCTGCCCACTAGTGTGGTGCCAATGCCAACTCTCTCATATTTCACCAACACTGGACAAATCCCACCTTACAGAAAGACAGACCTCATGTAGCCTATAAGGCGAGAACATGAGCGGTTGGAAATATTTGTATGTGTTATATGTTTCAGCATATCTGTTATTACAATGTTTGTGTAATAACAAAATAAGTATGCGTAAACCCATTTGACTTGTCATAATAAGACAGATATGAGCCATACATTCCATCAAGGAGCTCCAGCAAGAAAGAAAGAAAGACAGAGAGAGAGACAGACGGAGACCGGCGGAGACAGAGAGACAGAGAGAAAGACAGTCATCGAGAGAAAACACGGTAAAGCCTGGACAAAGGCCTGGCCCCCTCCACCTCCCTGCTCAGTGCCAAATAAAAACTGGCTTAATTTAACGACCTTTCCCCAGGCATGTGATGAACGGCGTTTCACAGTTGCCCCAGCTAGTGGAGTGCACCCACTCACAGTGAATTACCACACTGCCAGAGAGTGAACTACTGTCTGTCCAGTGTCCACCATCACCACTCTCATGACAGCATCACAGGAAAACAACATTTAAACAGGGAGGATGGGGGAGGGGAAGTGGTCATCGATCCAATTGGCATGACTGAGATTGTTGGATTTATTTGTGAACTAGACATGTTCCAAGTAGTGTATTAGAACCAAATCCAAGTGTACTGTGGGTGTGAGTTGCAGAGTGAGGTGTTAGGAGGATAGAAGCTCTTCCTCTGGCCCAGCCAGGGTCTCTACACTCTCTATGGCTCCAGCCAAACGACTCGCTCATCCCCTCTCCAACGAGACAGACTCACAGGAGCATCAGCACTCCTCCATACAATGGAATGATTCTCCACCTCTGAAAGACCAGAGTGGAACACACACACACACAGTTTGGACCCAGGGATCATGAGTGCCATTTAGTAATGGATACAGACCAGCCTCCATGACAGTGAGGGGGAGTTTTTGGCCACTCTCCCTTTCGCTCCCTCCCTCCCATGCACTTTTGCCCTCACACGCCCGGCAGCACAACAGCCCGCTGCTGTACTAAGGGGCAGGGCGGCACAGTCTGTCCTGCCACCCTGGCCCTGCACTCACTACCACCCTGGAGCATCTTCTGAAGCACCCTTGTTGCCGTTGCCATGGTGGAGGATGGAGGGAGTCACTGTATGCAAAGGAAACACACAGACCAAACAATACTGGGTTGATTCTGCCTGAAGACCATGCTTTTCATCTGGGTCACATGGCTGAGTTCAGTTGCTCCCAGCGCTGTGGGTTGTCTCCCAAATGGCACCCTATCCACTATATTGCGCAGGAATAGGGTGCCATTTGGGACACAGCCCTGCTCTGTCCTTCCCATAAAGATGCACTACGGCTGCTGCTACTGCTGCTTACAGCAAATCCACAACTAGGACAGACAGCGCCAGCCAGCCAGCACATAGGGAAACCAGTAACCTACATTTGACAAAAGCCATCTTGCCATCAACAAATGGCAGGAGGCGAGGCCTTCCATAACATAAACGGCCACACAAGTGGAGCATGGGAATATAAAAGTCCATGCACTTGCCATCTCCTGTCTGGACTACTGCAACTCGCTGTTGGCTGGGCTCCCCGCTTGTGCCATCAAACCCCTGCAACCTTCCCAAGTTCTCCCATGTCACCCCCCTCCTCTGCACACTCCACTGGCTTCCAGTCGAAGCTCGCATTCATTACAAGACCATGGTACTTGCCTACGGAGCAGCAAGAGGAACTGCCCCTCCCTACCTTCAGGCTAAACTCAAACCCTACACCCCAACCGGAGCACTCCGTTCTGCCACCTCTGGTCTCCTGGCCCTCCCACCCCTATGGGAGGGCAGTTTCTGCTCAGCACAGTCCAAGTTCTTCTCTGTCCTGGCACCCCAATGGTGGAACCAGCTTCCCCCTGCAGCTAGCACAGCAGAGTCCCTGCCCATCTTCTTTCTAGCTCTGACTTTACTGATAGCTACTTTATTGAGGAAAAATGTACTTACTATGACTGTGATATTTGGTTGTCCCACCTAGCAATCTTAAGATGAATGCACTAAGTCACTCTGGATATGAGCTTCTGCTAAATTACTAAATTGTAAAAATATAAAAGCACAATACCATCTACTGTGTACAACAGGAGGCAGAGAGAGACAGAAATCCTGTTCAACGGAAGGAGGGAAAATGGCAGCCTATGCCTTAGGGAGGGCCAAATCACTGCTCCTGTGACTAGAGGAGAATACAAAGTCAAACTAACTTTATCAGTGAGTGCTAAAGCCGCCAGAACAAAGACTGAAGTGAAATGTTGGCATGCTGTTTGGAGTGGGCTTCCTGGCAACTGCTGAGACATAGCAGGTCATAAGTATCAGCAGTCAATTTATTCAGTGGCATAGGACGCGGGTGGGGGTCCCCTAAAGCCTTCCTTTGATCATCCTTGAGATGTCACTACAACTTCATTGGAGTCCACCTGTTGCCAATTCAATTGATTGGACATGATTTAGAAAGAAACACATCTGTCTAGATAAGGTTCCAGAGTTGACAGTGCATGTCAGAGCAGAAACTATACCAAGGAACTGTCCGTAGACCTCCTAGATCAGGGTTGGGCAACTTTGATAGGGGTGGGGGCCACAAAAAAACAGAACTCATCATGGGGGCCGCAGTGACTTGTGGGTCTGCGTACCCACATCCATCCCACACAAAGTGCTGTGGAGGAGTGTCAACATGTGGGTATACATCTCTCTCTCTCTCTCCACCCCCGTCGCCCTCTACCCCCATCGCCCTCTACCTCTGTCTCTCTCTCAGCTACTGCAGTATAGCAGGAATCTAATTCAATGCTGGATCCTGCTCAATACTGGCAGAGATTAGCTAGTGCAGGAGGGAAGATGAAACTGGGTTAGGGCCTCTATACAGGCCCGGGGGCCTTCTGATGGGAAAAGTTGGAGAAACTGGTCAGGTCTGTGTGTCATGATCTAACGGAAGAACAAACAAGAGAAAAATATTATGCAACGTCACAAACTACCCTCCATGATAGTCAACGACAATGTTCAAAAGCTCAAAGTGAGTTGTCAATTTGGCAATCCAGGTAATATCATTGAACTTCTTCAAACCGTAAAGCCATCACACAAACCGTTAATAGCAGCACCATGTTTATGTCAACAAACATAAAAGTTGTTTATCATATCAACCTATTCATGTCAACAGTCATGCATTGTAAATTCAAATATACTCTAATTTTGCAAACAGTAAGAAAGCCTTGTCCAAGACAGAATGGCCCAACGGGCAGGAACCTTAATCCTGTAGCGTGTATTACCTAGTTTAACATGTATTACCTAGTTTGGATTTGTAAACCTGGTAGGCCTCAAAGCTCTCCTGTAGGGAGCTGTAGCGCTTGGTGAGCTGGCTCTTCTTGTGATGCAGTCTGGGCTGCAGTTGAAGGTTCTGCTCTGCTAGGCTGCGGTTACTGGCCAGGGTCATCTCCTTGATCTGCTGCACCTCCTGCATCTACAACATACAAAGGATCACACAGACATTGAGTACGATTATATGCATACAATAATGTGATTGTGGATAGTCAGATTAATATAATAGTTTGATTAAAAAGTTTAATAGATGAACGATTTCCCTAATAATCCTGTTAACATGGACAGATCTGAATGGCACTCTGATAAATGCAGAAAATTGGCAATCAAAATAAACATTGTACCACAGCGACAATGTTATTTTTGGGAAGCATATTTGATTCTGAGTTCGGACATACAGTATAACGTTTGTATGTGAAAACTACTTGTAAGTAAGCATATTCCATTTTTCTGAACTCACTTCACTCTCACATAACAGGTGCTAGAACATGCGCAGATCAAATACACCACTGGAACGCTGATTAAGGTGTTTACATGTTATTGCAGCTCAATGGGTGTAACTTTTGTTGACAACTTCGATACCCTATGGAAACAAAACGCTTTTTATAAGGAGGATGGGATCCACCCGAATAATTTGGGTTCCTGGATCCTTTCACAGCATTCTAAGGCTGCGTTGAGACAATGACTTATCAGTGACTCAAGCCCAGCTCAGTTAATCCCTACCATTGTGTCGCTGAGTTGTCATAATGCTTCAGCAAATGTACATTATACCAGGGGCGTTGGTAGACACAATGTAAGTAACCTATTTTATGTCCCTCTAACTGCCCTGAATGCTGCTGATCCTACAGCTATTGTATGCAGTAATAAGGTGCCTATGAACCAGAGTTACAGTGGGGGAAAAAAAGTATTTAGTCAGCCACCAATTGTGCAAGTTCTCCCACTTAAAAAGATGAGAGGCCTGTAATTTTCATCATAGGTACACGTCAACTATGACAGACAAAATCAGAAAACATCCAGAAAATCACATCGTAGGATTTTTTATGAATTTATTTGCAAATTATGGTGGAAAATAAGTATTTGGTCAATAACAAAAGTTTCTCAATACTTTGTTATATACCCTTTGTTGGCAATGACACAGGTCAAACGTTTTCTGTAAGTCTTCACAAGGTTTTTACACACTGTTGCTGGTATTTTGGCCCATTCCTCCATGCAGATCTCCTCTAGAGCAGTGATGTTTTGGGGCTGTCGCTGGGCAACGGACTTTCAACTCCCTCCAAAGATTTTCTATGGGGTTGAGATCTGGAGACTGGCTAGGCCACTCCAGGACCTTGAATGCTTCTTACGAAGCCACTCCTTCGTTGCCCGGGCGGTGTGTTTGGGATCATTGTCATGCTGAAAGACCCAGCCACGTTTCATCTTCAATGCCCTTGCTGATGGAAGGAGGTTTTCACTCAAAATCTCACGATACATGGCCCCATTCATTATTTCCTTTACACGGATCAGTCGTCCTGGTCCCTTTGCAGAAAAACAGCCCCAAAGCATGATGTTTCCACCCCCATGCTTCACAGTAGGCAAAGGGAGTTGAGTTTTTACCAAAAAGTTCTATTTTGGTTTCATCTGACCATATGACATTCTCCCAATCCTCTTCTGGATCATCCAAATGCACTCTAGCAAACTTCAGACGGGCCTGGACATGTACTGGCTTAAGCAGGGGGACACGTCTGGCACTGCAGGATTTGAGTCCCTTGCGGCGTAGTGTGTTACTGATGGTAGGCTTTGTTACTTTGGTCCCAGCTCTCTGCAGGTCATTCACTAGGTCCCCCCGTGTGGTTCTGGGATTTTTGCTCACCGTTCTTGTGATCATTTTGACCCCACGGGGTGAGATCTTGCGTGGAGCCCCAGATCGAGGGAGATTATCAGTGGTCTTGTATGTCTTCCATTTCCTAATAATTGCTCCCATAGTTGATTTCTTCAAACCAAGCTTCTTACCTATTGCAGATTCAGTCTTCCCAGCCTGGTGCAGGTCTACAATTTTGTTTCTGGTGTCCTTTGACAGCTCTTTGGCCATAGTGGAGTTTGGAGTGTGACTGTTTGAGGTTGTGGACAGGTGTCTTTTATACTGATAACAAGTTCAAACAGGTGCCATTAATACAGGTAACGAGTGGAGGACAGAGGAGCCTCTTAAAGAAGAAGTTACAGGTCTGTGAGAGCCAGAAATCTTGCTTGTTTGTAGGTGACCAAATACTTATTTTCCACCATAATTTGCAAATTAATTAATTAAAAATCCTACAATGTGATTTTCTGGATTTTTTGTCTCAATTTGTCTGTCATAGTTGACGTGTACCTATGATGAAAATTACAGGCCTCTCTCATCTTTTTAAGTGGGAGAACTTGCACACAATTGGTGGCTGACTAAATACTTTTTTCCCCCACTGTATATTCATAGCACTGAGGCGGTGTACTCTAGTAGGAAGTCCACTGTGTGCAGCTCACCCTGCACTAACATAAATAACATGAGCATGTATACGTCTGCTAAGCTTCCCAGTAAAGCAATGCAAACAATCAAGCATCCCAATAAAGTGCTAAAAATAGCCCACGTTAAAATATGTAGCTTAAGAAACAAGGTTCATTAAATTAATAACTTGCTAGTAACAGATAACATTCCAATTCTGACTATCTCTGAAACTCAGATAATACCTTTGATGATACAGTGGAAGCAATATATAGTTATAACATCTACAGAAAAGACAGAAATGCCAATGGAGGTGTTGCTGTTTATATTCAGAACCATATTCCTGTAAAGCTTAGAGAGGATCTCATGTTAAATACTGTTCAAGTAATATGGCTACAGGTTCATCTGCCTCAACTAAAGCCCATTCTTGTGGGAAGCTGCTATAGACCACCAAGTGCTAACAGTCAGTATCTGGATAACATGTGTGAAATGCTTGATAATGTATGTCATATAAACAGAGATGTATATTTTCTGGGTGATTTAAATATTGACAGGCTTTCATCAAGCTGCCCACTCAAGAAAAAGCTTCAAACTGTAACCAGTGCATGCAACCTGGTTCAGGATATCTGTCAACCTACCAGGGTAGTTACAAACAGCACAGGAATGAAATCATCAACATGTATTGATCACATCTTTACTAATGCTGCAGAAATTAGCTTGAAAGCAGTATCCAGATCCATCGAATGTAGTGATCATAATATAGTAGCCATATCTAGGAAAACAAAAGTTCCAAATGCTGGGCCTAATATAGTGTATAAGAGGTCATACAATACGTTTTGTAGTGATTCCTATGTTGTTGATGTAAATAATATTTGTTGGTCTGTGGTGTGTAATGAGTAGCAACCAGACGCTGCACTTGACCCATTTATGAAATTGCCTATTCTAAAAGCTGTTAAATCCCTGTGGATTGATGAGGAATTGAACAATTTTATAGTTCAGAGGGATGCGGCAAAACGAATGGCAAATAAGTCTGGCTGCACAACCGATTGGCAAACGTACTGCAAATAGAGAAATCATGTGACTACACTGAATAAAAAGAAGAATAAACTATACTATGAAACAAAGATAAATTATTTAAAGAATGATAGTAAAAAGCTCTGGATCACCTTAAATTAAATTTTGCCCAAAAAGGCAAACTCAGCTCCATCATTCATTGAATCAGATGGCTCCTTCATCATCATCACAAACCCACTGATCTTGCCAATGAAAAAATCATTGAAGTAATTGGCAATATTAGCAAACTTAGGCATGACATGCCAGCAATAAACACTGACACTACACATCCAAGAATAACTAATCAAATTATGAAAGACAAGCGTTGTAATTTTGAATTCTGTAAAGTGTGGAAGAGGTGAAAAAATTATTGTTGTCTATCAACAATGACAAGCCACCGGGGTCTGACAACTTGGATGGAAAATTACTGAGGATAATAGTGGACGATATTGCCACTCCTATTTGCCATATCTTCAATTTAAGCCTACTAGAAAGTGTGTGCCATCAGGCCTGGAGGGAAGCAAAAGTCATTCCGCTACCTAAGAATAGTAAAGCCCCCTTTACTGGCTCAAATAGCCGACCAATCAGCCTGTAAACTTTTGGAAAAATGTGTGTTTGACCAGATACAATGCTATTTTACAGTAAACAAATTGACTTCAACAAGCACAGGACTTACACAAATGACTGATGATTGACAGAGAAATTGATGCAAAAAAAGATTGTGGTGGCTGTTTTGTTAGACTTCAGTGCGGCTTTTGACATTATCGATCATAGTCTGCTGCTGGAAAAACCTATTTGTTATGGCTTTACACCCCCTGCTATATTGTGGATAAAGAGTTAACTGTCTAATAGAATACAGAGAGTGTTCTTTAATGGGAGCCTCTCCAACATAATCCAGGTAGAATCAGGAATTCCCCAGGGCAGCTGCCTAGGCCCCTTATTTTTTCAATCTTTACTAACGACATGCCACTGATGACTCAACACTATACACGTCAGCTACTACAGCGACTGAAATGACTGCAACACTTAACAAAGAGCTGCAGTTAGTTTCAGAATGGGTGGCAAGGAATAAGTTAGTCCTAAATATTTCCAAAACTAAAAGCATTGTATTTGGGACAAATCATTCACTAAACCCTAAACCTCAACTAAATCTTGTAATGAATAATGTGGAAATTGAGCAAGTTGAGGTGAGTAAACTGCTTGGAGTAACCCTGGATTGTAAACTGTCATGGTCAAAACATATTGATACAACAGTAGCTAAGATGGGGAGAAGTCTGTCCATAATAATGCGCTGCTCTACCTTCTTAACAGCACTATAAACAAGGCAGGTCCTACAGGCTCTAGTTTTGTCGCACCTGGACTACTGCCACAAAGAGGGACGTAGGAAAATTACAATTGGCTCGGAACAGGGCAGCACGGCTGGCCCGTTAATGTAAACGGAGAGCTAACATTAATGATATGCATGTCAATCTCTCATGGCTCAAAGTGGAGGAGAGACTGACTTCATCACTACTTGTGTTGACATGCTGAATGCACCGAGGTGTCTGTTTTTAAACTACTCGCACACAGCTCGGACACCCATGCATACCCCACAAGACATGCCACCAGAGGTCTCTTCACAATCCCAAAGTCCAGTACAGACTATGGGAGGCGCACAGTACTACATAGAGCCATGACTACATGGAACTCCATTCCACATCAGGTAACTGATGCAAGCAGTAGAATC